AGGAAGTAGTGTATTTATTCCCTGTTTCGTACGTGAAACACGACCCAAATTCATGAAGGATCACCTACTTATATATAAAAGAGTACTCTTTGTGGGTGTATGTACGGACCTAGTTCCTGTGCACCGTTTGATCTTTATTAGATTACTTTGCTGGAGTGATTCGGTTAGAGGCCTAATTGAAGGTCCTCTATCTCCGTTCCGGGTTCATTTAATTTTAAATTGAAGGTGACCCACATCAATTACCTAATACAATTGGATACTAATTAATTAATTATCGTTCCGCTCCTTTCTACGTAAACGTTTTATTGCACGAATCGTGTCGTTTTCACTTCACGTAGTACATGTCACGTGTTTATTCCATCGCACAGTTTTATCATGGGACACGTTGAATCTTATTAAAACAGAAAAATAGTAGCGAAGGAAAAAATGTTTGAAGACCGCCGGTTAAATGGCAAACTGGGGGAACGTTTGTCCTTTGTTCTTCGTTTAGAAATGGAGAAAAAAAAAAAATGGAAATAAAAGAGCCGCCTTGAACAGCTTCGAACGAGTGGTAAAGGAATCCATTGTACGTGCGTGGGTTAGCCTGGTTGGATTTTCCACGATTTCGTAATGGGAAACAAAACAGTACAGTATAATATGGAGGCATGACGCAATCCTCCGAGTGTGGGATGTGTTCTGGCTCGTGTTAACCGCAACACACGCGCACGCTTTCAATGTGCACGCGTGTTCACCGAAAGTACACTAACGTACGCAAGTTTCGAGAGATGGAAGCCCATTATTATATTTAAACGTGACCAGAATTTAGTTACGAGCCACTACGCGGAAGTCAGATTTTTAATTCTCGTTGCAGCGCATGTTTCGTCCTATTTTAATATTATTCTCTATTAATCTTATAACTCTGTACGTTGATATTCCTATAAATTTTATGAAATTCGTTCATTGTATTAATGATATTAAAGTATTATTAATTATGTTTCCGTTCTGTTTTAATATTATTCTCTATTAATCTTATAACTCCTTACATTTACATTCTTATAAATTCTATAAAATTCGTTTATTGTATTAATGATATTAAAGTATTATTAATTATGTCGAACTACATAGGCAACATATGTATAGGCAAGTTTTAGGATAAACGAATGAATTATGGCATGGAATATAAAAGAGGATTTTTATTAATATGAGAGGAAATCTATGAGCTTAAATACTCGTATAGTACTTTTGGGATGGATTGTATTTCCGGGCGTGCCTCGAATAACGGCATCATTCTCTCTCGTTCTCTCTTCCCCTTTGTAAGTAAGCAAGTACGCCTGGAACAAGTAAGCGGATATAAATAAGGTTTATTACGTCATCTCGCACTTTAAATCCGCTCTAACATAACTTGTGTTCCAGTTCTTCCTTCGCCTTGATTCTTCGTCTCGTGCCTCCTCTTCCGCTCTCCATAATCTCTCTGATTCGTGTATAATACCGCAAGTATTCTAATTATAATTATTCACGTTTTATTATTCATTTCCTGACAAATGGCTGACAATGAGTCTTATTATTATATCAAATATCGTAATGATTGTAAGAAATCTAGCATCGATTAGTATATGAATTATAGTAACATTTTAATTGTAATTGCGTAATTTGAAAAATTCCTTGCTGTATTTTTATCTTATTTTTCGACGTAGAACGACGAATTCTTTTGTCCCAGCATTTACTGACCACCGTGTATAATAATTAATGTTGGTCTGTTTGTCGTGTTCTAACGGATGGAATTTCCTGATTTCTCACCCCGTATACGTAGCCGTAGGTATCCATCTAGAAAGATGGAACTCCGTAACGCGATCGTAGCTGTAGAGAAGATTGGCAATTTTGCGCGAAATTAAGGGAATTGAATCGAATTATGCGAAGCTCGGGGGATGACGTAAGCGTTGTAACTCGCTGAATTGATGAAACTTCGCTTCTTCTCGTCTTTTTTTCTTGCACACGGACATTGTGCTTGTTGCTCTCGATGGGGGCCACTTCAGTTAGCTGCACACGTATATACGTATGCATGCGGCCGATGATTCATTTTTCATGGCTCGCTTCATGGTCCATCACTTCACCCGGGGACCCTTTATCAAGTGGCACGAATTTTTCTTCCCCCCTTTTCCACCCTTCCGCGCAGCGCAGACAGTTTTTCTAAGGAGTTTTCTTTTAAACAAGAACTTTTAATTATTTCGTCCTCCACGGTATGATACAATTATTTGAAAACGTTTCATCAGACTCTTCAAGTATAATCGTATCACTAATTAGATCGATCCACCCAATATTCACTTAGCTGGTATTAAATACGATTATCGTTTCGTATTGAATGTCTGGGCGAGCAAACGTAATAACAGCTGATTGTTTATTTTATTTCTCTTCCCATTTCTAACCGATGGAACCTGTAAATCGTGGTACACAACGCGGTTTAAACTCAATTAACGCCGTCCGTTTCTGACCTCTTCGATCAGCGGACCTCCCCAGTTCCATTGTTCCTTTCTGTTTCTCCTCTTTTTAGGCACGAGTCATCCGCCACCTTTTTTTTTTTTTTTTTCTTCTCACCCACCGCCGACCTCCTCCTGGGTGCTCCGCGTTTGATGAATTTATTTTCAGCGTTGGGGATTCACCTCGTCCGATTGGGTTATTGATTTTCGTCGGCCTTCCCGAACCAGCCTGAAACCTGAGGCGGGAACGTCGGTTTATGTACTTATCGCCCCGGTGAAAGATTTTTTTTTCCCTGTTAAATACAATAAGAATAAACAGCCGTGTTTGCACTTTCCCTACAGAAACTATTTTTTTTCAAATTATCAAGCTCGTTTCAATTGATTCTTCAACTTGTCTACGGTTATTAAGTTTAGTCACGGCGAATAAAGGCGAAGCGGTTCTCGTTGCTCCCATCGATACCCGGTGAAAATATAAATTCGAGAGATAGGCAGTGTGTAATTTTATATTATCCTTATTAGCATACACGAGACGATATTAGTATGGAAGTATGTAGATGCAAATGTGTAATACGATACAAAGTGTGCCAATTACACGATGTACGACTGGATCGGATCTCATGTGTACCATGTTACAGGCTATGTAATAAGAAACAGGTTCGCCGCACGACTTTTTTCCCCGCCCGTCTTATTTTTCTTCGCAACATAAATTGCGTAATGCGATTCAGACGTACCGTGAGTCATGTACATGCATATGTAATTGATCTAATATTTCTTCCTTATTACGTAGCTGCGAGTAGGCGAAGGCCCATTGTACAGTTCGTTCAGAAAGGCTAACGCTTGTTAACATACAATTTCTCATTATTCATCAAGGTAGCTCGATAGCATTTGCAAAACATATACGATTTTAAATAATAGTTAAAGTTCCGAATTTTCATTTTCCATA